ATAGTGTTTGCTTGAACTACGGAAGTTGATATCAAGAAGCCAAAAGTCAATAGCAAAGTCAAGAGAAATCCTGTTGATTCTTCCTTCTGGAAATTAATTAAGGCTCAATAAGATATAAACCAGGTAAAACAAACATATCTATGATGATGATTGTGTGTGTGAGAGAGAGAGAGAGAGAGAGAGAGAGAGACAGAGAGAGACAGAGAAAAGGGGTAAGGGGGAGGGGCAGTGAGGTAACAATAGGAATCATTACTTGGTAAGTGAGTTCAAGATTGTTGAAATATGGATCTTTAGATGGAGATGGTACATGTACGTACATACATGTACTACTCAATTTTTATTGTATTTGCTTATTCTGATCGTTGAACTTTATTGAAGAGATATCAGTCTTTTATTGCATGTACACGTACACTAATAGAAGACATTTCTTCAAGTATTTGATGTGTGAAAGCTGTATGTGCAATTGTGATTGCCAATTCTCTCGATATCGACCAGTATGACATTTGACAATGACAAACAAGGCTTGCATGTTTAATTCATGGAATGTGAAAGTGAAACCCACCAATTAAGTATAAATGCAGGAAGGAAACGGTTATCCCCATGAATATGTATTATAACTGCTCCCATTTTATGATGCTCTGAACTATACGAAAGAAACTTGACCCATGTAGAGAATGCTCGTGCATGGTTGAGCTATTTATAAAAGAAAAAAAATGAATTCTATAGGAGAATACATGTACGTATGGTACAATGAAAAGCATTTTTATTATCCAGGAATATCTAGAAATAGTTCATGCGTACATGTATATATGCACTCAGTAGGCAACTACACCCCACCCCCACACACACATCGTCGCTGTTTTCACGAAGTGACAGTAGTGAAAAAAAATTGCATTCACTTTGCGTTACGATTTTCCTCACTACCGTCACTTCGTGAAAACAAGGACGACATGTAGACACCCACTATATATATTTTGTTCAGTAATTTTGTTTTATTCCTCCAAATGTAATACAAACAAGAACATACAATTTAATGAAATAATAAACGTTTTCAATATTAATTGGTTATAATACGTACAAGATAAACATAATTAAACAAAAACTCATTATATATGCAGTAAATATGTTTATAACTGAGCAACAAAGTAAACTTAAAGTACATAAACATAATTTATAAGTCAATTGTATGTTTTTCACTCTATATAAACAAAATGTTAACAAATGTGGAGGTTAATACTGGTACAAGGAACAAAGTCCTGCTTCTTTATCACACAAACACACCCACACACAAAAAAGGGACAACAAGAATTGCACTATGAATCAATAAAATATTAAGAGATAAAACTTATTATAGTTATATTTTATGGAATACATATTGTATGGCCTAGAAAACCTTTTGGTAGAGATGTCAATAAACTGCAATTTACAGTTGGCTAATTTACATTGATGCATTAGTGTGTGTAGGATTAGCGTATCTTAAGTGCATGCATCGCTAATTACAGTTTGACCTGATGCATACTCAGCTCTAGATATTATAGCTTGGGTGCATAGAGTCCATAGAAAGTTCATGTTATAACTACAGTCTATCAAATCGTATCCAAGAGTTTTAGATCTATTTTGTGGGTAAAAAATGCATTTATAAACATGTTGATATGAAGATTAAAGCCCAACTGTACTACTTGTAGCTACATGCACTTGCTCCCTCTATTTATAAAACAATGCCTAATCGGTGACCATTGGTTCCCCATGATTCTCTTTTTCTTATGTTAATTGAGAGCTGACTTGATGAGATAGCCACCTGTCAGTGACCACCCTGGGTGAACTTATCCCTCCTAGCCAAACTAGTACAGACAGCCTTTACGATCTGCTGGCATTTTCACAATTTGTTCATGTACTATAACTTATAAGCATGGGAGAGTCAAAGTCGTACATACATTATGTTGTCTTTGGGGAACTTCAGAAGCATCAAACTCTTGACTGACATGGCCAAGTTCTCAGCTTATTTCCCATAATTATTTCTGTTTTTCCCATGAAAAAACCCCCAGAGAATTGTCTTAGGAATCATTATTCATCTGATTTCTCCCCTAATTTAATCTGCATTTGATGGGGGCTGTATTAGATGGGTCAACTTGGGCTAGAGCATTATATCTTGTCAAGATTTACCGGATGACCTACTACACCCCTCCCCCTTGCCCCACCCCCACCACCACCACCCAAGATGCGCAAGTTATTTTTTAAATTTCAACATACATGTAGATGGTCAATTTAACACCAAATTATATATCTTTGTTGCTTCAATAAAAAAGAGATTATTGCTTGGGATTCGACTTACAGTCATTTACCTTTATCCAAGAGTAGACGAACTACTTGTACTAGGCACGTACATGCCAATTTTCATATTTATGCACATATACAAGTTTTTTTTTTTTTTGTTACAGGTTTTCTTCTGACTCAAATTACTATGATACTAAATAAGAATCTAGTGCAAATAACAGGTGCACGTAACAGGCTTGGTAGATGCCATTTGTTTTGTATTTTGACCACAAAGAAGAGTGCTCAGAACGTGCAGATAGGACTTTAGTAATAATTTTAATGTTCTACTTACACTCTTTTCACACTGGTTTTGCTTAACCCCGTACTTTGCTTAGCCCCGTACTATCCTTAACCCCGGGATATTTTTTTTGGCTTTTCACACACTCTGTTTTTAGTCCCGTACTAGTGCCTATTCCGGAATAAGAAAATTCACGTTGTTCTCACTGCAATTCGTTAGCCCCGGATATGGTGAATGTTATGATTGGACAGTGGGCTCCTTACTTTGCATCTGGCCAGCTGCGATACGCTCCATTGCGTAGTACCAGACTATTTTTCGTTTCTGTTCTCATTCATTTGCTTGGCACCGCAATTGCGGGGTTAGCAGGAGTTAGCACCATAATTGCGGGGTTAGCCCTGCTATTTTGCAGGGTTAGTTAACCCCGTACTATAGGTGGGGCTAGCCCACTTTGGTAAATACGAGTCTGAACAGAAAGTGGAATAGGCTTAACCCTGGACTATAGGTGGGGCTAAGACCCCCCCCCCCTTAACCCCACCTATAGTACGGGGTTAAGCAAAATTTTGCCAGTGTGAAAACAGTATTAGAGGTACCCAAGATCTCTGCCCTACTTTTGATATTAAGTGACATTTTAAATGGTCTTATTCTGGAGAGAAAAAAGAATGCATTAAAATATTTCAATAATAATATTTAGCTTTTATATAGCACTTAATACAATGTCTCTAAGCACTTTACAAATATACTATTACCCCGGTATTCAAGAAAATTCAGGATGCGAAAGAAGCATGTGTTACTTTTTTACGATGGTATGTTTATTGGTTACTTAACCCATTCTGTGCTACAAGAATTTGGAACATTTTTCGTAACGGAACTTAGATTTCGGACCTGTTTCTTCAAGTTTCAAGGGTCTTGATGTATTGGTCATGAATTCTTTTTCTTGTCTCTTCATTTAGCTATATATTTAAGGCAAGTGGTATTTAAGTACTTTTGAGCAAATTATTGATAGGTTATTATTATAGGTCCAATAAAAGGTCCTTGAGGCACCCATGCTTTACCTAAAAAAACCTGCGATGCATAAAAAAACACAAATCAAGTTTTTTTGAAAGTGATATAACCAAAAAAATTTAAATTCGATTGATTATTATATACAATTTTGGGCTTGTCTTGGTGTTTAAAAATCAATGGGAATCTTTTTCTTTTGTCCTTTTATCAATTCAAGCAATGTGCTTAAGTAGATAATTCCAAATGTAAATGAGGGGATGAAACTCGCTGTCGTCCGTCCTTTCGTCCGTCTGTCCGTAACAAATCTGGTTTCTGTTCGATAACTTTAGTAATGTTTGACGGATTTTAATGAAATTCGATATGAAGGTGCATGGTATCAAAACACAGCCTAAGTTTGATTTGGAGTATGTAGGTCAAAGGTCATAGCTCATTAAATATGCAAAAAATGCTAATTATTCGAAAATTTGTTTTCCGTTCAATAACTTCAGTAATGTTTGTCAGATTTCAATGAAATTTGAAAAAAGGTACATGTACAAAGTATCAAAATACAACCAAGTTCAATATTCGGAGTATATAGGTCAAAGGTCATGGCCCATTAAATAAGCAAAAATAATTAATGAACATACGAATATGTGGTTTCCGTTCAATAAATTTAGTAATGTTTTATAGATTATATTGAAATTTGATATGAAGGTACATGGTATTAAAATACAGCCTAAGACCAATTTTGGTGTATGTAGGTCAAAGGTCATAGCTCATTAAATATGCGACCATAGCTTATTATATACGAAAAAATGTGGATTTCATTCAATAACGTAAGTAATGTTGTTGAGTATGTATGCCAATTTGTCACAGCTCATATGCAAAAATTGTTATTAAATAAAGGCCATTTGTACCCGGCGAGGGGATGGTACGCTTTGTGCTGACTTGTTTAATTTCTTTCAATGATTAACTACATGTACATGTACATGTACATGGCCATAGTAAGATTACTATCTAATTATGATATGACAAATAATTGTATCATGTGTCATTTTTCACAGGTTTGCGTCTACGTGTTACCTATTGATAATGCTATTGATAAGGTTTATTTACTTTGTCTTGCAGCACAAAGGGTGGTTATTCATTCCTGTTTAACAGGCAAAAATTTCTCTGCTGCCAAGTTCAAATACTGACCAAATTAATAACTTCAATCCTGGACCTAATGTAATATCGAATCCTAGCAATAACCCTAAAGTTTTTATCAAAATCATAACCATAATCCTGAATCTATATCTTTGATCAAACAACACCCACTATAAAGTTCCATGGAGTATCATTCAAATGTTGCTATTCTCCTTGCCAAAATGAAAAGATTCCATGATTTAAGTTTTTTTAATGTCTAAATGTATATTGGTGTGACTGTTCAGTGATGATATTAACAATTTACATTTTCATGTCTATTCCGTAGGTCAAGTCCGATGGGTCATGGTTGCATAATATTTCCAGATAATCAGCAATTGAAAGGTAAGATATAGATCATCAGGAAACTCAAATTTTATAGCAAGTTGCTATGGATTTATAAGGAAAGTTGGAAATTTAGATTTATTGAAGGAAACAAACAAACTGGAGGAATGATAGAGATTTTTTTGTTCATATTGCATTTACTTTTAAATTGCTTCACGTTTCATTGTTATTTTATGTTTTTAAAGAGAGATGTGAAATAAACTGAATTGAATAAAGTCAATTGGGAATCGTTCTATATTAATGGCAATTTGTTATTGGTGAATTAGTAATGTCACCACTCACCAGTATAGTTAAACATGGCACAAACAATAGACAAATATTTCATTAGGAGCACATCTTGGATATTTTGACAATTTAAAGCCATACAACAGCTTCATGTGTGTGAAGTACTCTTGACTGGGAACCCTTGTAACTGCGCGGTTTCATGAAAACAAAATACTCAACAGATCCGAGTCAACACATAGAACATTGAAATGATATTGGTTTATTGTCTAATGAAAAGCAGTTTCATTTGCAAGCCTTTTTTTGTTGTTATTTTCAATTTTAAAAAATGAACAAAATACATGCTGCAGGTAAAAGGAATAAAAACTCAAACAGGTCAAATTCAGTTTTCCAAAGCCAAAATATAAACACTGCTGTATTTTCTTCTGAAAAGAGCAAGGTTCACCCCAAAAATTTTGATTACAGTACACAATTACTCTCTGATACATACATATCAATGTTAGTACATTAACAGGTAAAATTGCAGGAATAAATCTGATCTGATAGGATAGCAGATCTTAGGTATTAGACAATGATATAACATTAATGTTGAGAGGTCAATGGAGATGCACATGTATCTATACATACGTGAGGCACTCCGATTGTGAAAGCCATCAGTACATTATCTTCAACAGATATGAAAACATTACAATAATTTTTTTTTAAATACTAATTCCCCTCCCCTCCCCTCCCCTCCCCTCCCCTCCCCTCCCCTCCCCAAGTTTCCAAACACATGATGTACATGTAGGCCCATACACCTACATTACAGTAGTTGTTTTGTTTCCTATCGCCTACGTGTACATCCCAGTTCCTTTTGTTCTCTACTCTGTTTGTTCCTATGGTTCTGACATATTTTGGGGCTTCCAAAAAAAATGGAGTTGTGTACATTTGGGTACAGGATTAAGGCAGCTTGAGATGGTTGAAAGCTCAATCAAACTGGAAATATTCTGATGCTCACAGGCGTGTGACCTTGTGTCTAGACTTTAGAATTCCAGGTTTTGCTTCAGAAAACATGTAAAATGTTCAAATAATGCTGAATACACTCCCCTTTCCCCACCTTATCCACTAAATCCTTATTCAAATTCACCCTCTACAGTATCCTCCACATTTTTAATCCTGAAAAAATAGGAAAGTGACTTAGTGACCTATTTCTGTGTGAGTCATGCATGTACATGGTAAATTAAATGGTTGCTACATGTAGGTAGGACAAACAATATAGTTTGTCCTACCTAACAACACAGAATGTACATGCAATTCACATTTTGCCTATTCAAATACAATTATGTGTAATGGGATATGAAATAATTTGTAACGAGGCACTTAACAAAGATCTGTGCATTAAATGTGATTACATTATGAAAATGGCCTATTTGACAATGCTTGCTTCAGCTCTTGTTGAATGATGCTTTTGAAGTGAAGTGTAAAGTGAGAGTGCTACATAATTCAAGAGTTTCTGTGACTAAAGGCAGTTAAGAGTCATACACTCAGAACCTCTCACAATGTGCTCATTCTCTGTTTGCGTGGAGCCCGTTATCGTTGAAAAACATTGTTTGTTTCCATGGTAATGTGGCATAAAGGAGCTGCGGAGTACAATGCCTTGATGCAAGTGAAAATTTCAGTCAGTATCAGCTTGTGACTGATATGATGCTTCCCTGTATCCAATTCAAAGCTAGGCAGGTATTTCAATTCCTTCGTACGTGTCTCCAATCGGTGGCTTTCATCATGCTTTTATTGATCCAACATTATATCTAAAGCAAATTGTTTCTTCTGACAGGATAAAAATGAGAAATTGCAAATGATTCTTAGTATCCTCCTCTACTACAGGTTTCACTAATGTCCTTTGGCAAGACATTGATCTACATTTGCCACTCTCCACCCAGGTGTTAAATGGGTACCCGGTAGGATGCGAAAGCCATTGCAATATGCTTAGCAATTTGAGCCTAGTAGCTCTTGCTGGAATGCTCCCCAGGGAGTGGAGAAAGTGCATACATTGTGTGCGGGCAAGCCAGAATCGGACGCCCGGGGGTAATAACTGTAAAGCGCTAAGAAACTCGGACTTGCCAATGTATTAAGCGCTATATAAGCAGAAATACCAGGGTATTATTATTATGGTATAGTGGAGAAAGATGTTTCCTTTGACATACCCTTTAATAGTCAATGAAGAGTAGCGTGTGAACTTTAGAAGCTACTCTTAGAGTCCTATGCAAACAATTTTATTGTTGGAAAGTGTAGATTCGTGATAGAAAAAACTGGAACGTTGTGGTTGAACTCCTGTTGGGAATGGATCAATTCATAGAGTAGATGAGCTTAGTGACCCGTGATGCTCTCTCTGTAGTCGTCTGCTCGTATAAATGTATTATGAATGGCCAATGCCCATCAAACATGAAAAATGAACAGTGCGGTTGAGCTACTTTCGGGGATGGGTTCAATTCATAAAGATTGATGAGCTTAGTGGCCCGTGATGCTTTTTATAGTTTATGTATTGGGCCCATTTACACATCTCAAACACCATTTTGAAAAATCCTTGATTTTTTTTACAACCATTTACACTACTGGACAAAGTTTGCTCATATTGAATTTTTAATGAGAAGTGCGTATGTCACTATGAACATGACGGACAAAGAAAGAGGACAAAATATACAGTTCCTCAGGTAGATAAAGATGCATATTCACCTGTTCTATACATGTTACATAATAGCAGTGAAAGGATTTTCCTTTGTCTACCTGAGGAACTGTATATTTCGTCCTCTTGCTTTGTCCGTCATGTTCATAGATGTGTCACTCGTTAGTGCGTGGCATGTGTTAGCACGGAAGCGAGGAAAGTTGCGTTAGCGGAAAAAATGGGTATCTTACCGAAGTTAGCTTTTACACTGCAAAACTCGGTGAAAGTTCGGCAGGCATTTAAAAAAATCCCCATCCAAAGGTGGATTTTGATTTTTTGTGTGTTTGCCGGTAGCAAAACACCAGAATGTGAGAAAAACCAATGATTTTTGGCTGCAGTGTAAATGCAGCTATAATAAATGTATAATGCCTATCACACAGCAAGCATCATTTAACTGCATTCATTGATCAGTTAAAAGAAATCATGCTGTGATAAGGAGCTAATGTTACTGTACATGCCATGATAATGCACATGAGGATCTACTCATGTTCTTTTAATGCTCTCTCATCGGTTTGAGATTCAATTTTTTGCTCTAATTCTGTCAGTGCCTTGATATAGCTAACGACAATACAGGGTAACAACAATAAACTAGGGTAACAACAATATAGAGTAATGACAATATAGGGTAACGACAATGGCCATTTTGTTCACTTTTTACATAATATCCCTATTCTTTTGGTTTAATGAGACAGAGAGCGAATTCAATATAACAGTGCAACTGAAATGCAAGAGACATGTGTTGTTGAGCATTGGCATCCTATACATCCATTAAAGGTACTATGTCTCTTTTGCAGCCAACATCAAATTCTGTAGAACTTTGCAGGAATTATGAATATGTCATGTATGTCCTATCTGTGAAATTTAAATGTTAGCAGTGTCCTAATATTCAAATTATGAAGGAAACTCATTTATTTGCTAGAATTCACTGTCGGACACTATTGAGTGACAAACTGGCTTTTTTCTTCTTTGGTAGTACATAAAATGAGCTGTAAAGGGTACATGAGCCTTGTCTACATCAATAACCCACTTCTTGTAATGGCCAAAATTAAACTGATTGAATCTTTGCGCAGCATAAAACGTACGACCATTCGGTACAATGGTCTGAAAATCAGAATATTACTTACTGGCTCTATAGCTCTTAAGTCGATTCGACAACTACATGTAATAGTCGTTATTTCTCCACTTAAAGACATTTTCAAGACCCCCTTTATTTAGGGAAGTTCTAAATTAGTATTTACTTTCAAATGCCGTTGTAATTTAACCTTTTCATATTTTGGCTTGCAAATGGGACATAGTACCTTTAAAGGTCCCAAGATTGTTCACTGGAATATCGCTTCTTTACTGAAATGCATGGACTTTGATGAATTGAAAACACTATTGTTAATTTCATATTGATTAATAAGATTAATCCAGATGTGACAAAGAAATTGCAGAAGTGGGTACACCTGTGAATGTTGAGATTGACACTGATCAGCTGGAGGAGTCACCACCAATGTTCAGGAAGTTTTATTTACATGCAGTTTAACCTGAATTCATGCCAAACAGACCTAGAAATTATTGCGATAGAAGTACATGTACATGATGAAAAGCAAAAAAATGTATCATGTTGTAACTTGGTACAGACCACCCTCATCGAATTCTGACTTGTTTACTAAATTTAAATACAACCTTGAAATGATCGATGGAACTAGAACAGATTTGATCATTCTGTGTAATATGAAGCAAACAAACAGCAAGTACAGTAGTAGGCGAAACAGCTCTCTGAGATATTTCATTTCAGATGTGAGCAAATTATAATGGAACCAACTTGTGTAACAAATAACTCTTGTTTATTGATTGATCTGAACAATTCCCAGCAAATTCAGCCAAGAGAAGAACTGTATGTTAATATGGTACATTCATTGTGTAAAAGGAAAACTTCCTTGTTGTAATCAAATTAGGCTTGAGTCGGTACGGTCGATCACACCGGGACCCGACCGTTGCCGTCGGGTCCCGGTTTCGTTTTTTGAGAACCGGCGCTCCGAAAAAAATAATGAAATATGTAAGAAATTGCAGTTTTGCACACCACTAAAATCAA